GGGGGGGGGGGGAAATCTCTTTTGCCTTTCAGGTTTACAGCAAAGTGTAAAGCACAAGGATAATGTAATATAAACTGTAACCTGTCATGTGAGAAAAAAACAAGTTTTTCCAAAGAGTAGAGGTAGAGAGAGAGAAAGAGAGAGAGAGAGAGAGAGAGAGAGAGAGAGAGAGAGAGAGAGAGAGAGAGAGAGAATGCCACAGTCTGTCTATTTTGGTCTAATGTGAGACTGTCATTGGCTTGTGGGCCAGTAAGTCCAGCAGCTAATGCCAAGAGAGGATGACCATGGGCGCTAGAACAAAACAGAAGGATAACTGCCTATGATTTTCTGCTGTCTCACAACTGACTCAACATATTTGCAGATTTTGTTGCATATTTGCATTTCTATGCATCTATAAATAACATCTGCAGCTGAAATTGTTCCTGTGGTCCTCTTGCTTGTGCTGGTGCAAAACAGCATTTACTCCCCTCAACACCTCCTGTGTCGCCTGGCCGAATAACCACTGTGCTATGAGTCCTACATCACCCATTCCCCTTTAATAAAACCCTTTCTATCTTTTCCAATAATAATTCTGGATGATTTTCAAATAGAAATCCTTTTCAGGAGGTTTAAATGTCCCATTAAATGTCCTTTTTTAATTAAAAACACCTTACTTGAAGCAAGCAGCACATTCTTTCACAAGCATTTTTGTCACACTATGATATCATAAAAATGTCAAGCAATATAACTGTTTAAATAGTTCTTCCTGTTTACCTTTTAAGAGTCAAACACTTGACAATAAAGTGGACTTACTATAAATAAAGGCAACATCCACTAGAAGATGCCAATTACAGTGTTATATTTTGGATTCTGCTGGTGTGTATGTTATGTAGGCTTGCAGAAAGTATATATTGTCACTGTTTGTATGTTTTTTTGTTGTGTGTTATGTGTCTGTGCATCTGCAGCTATGCCAGTTTGGGTTAAGCGCCGAGTGACCAAAGCCGCAGACTCACAGGATAGGTACCTAAGTGGAATCAGGCCTGTTAGATTTATGGCCATTTGTTCGGAGAGTGTTCATCCATTGGCTATTATGGAATGATTAGAGGAGAAGGTGAAGCTCCAAGTCCAGCAAAAATCAATACGGCTGTCGAGAACGATTCAGCCTTTCCCGCTCCGAGGAGTATTAGCACCAAACCTCTGTCTCCTCACACTTCTTTATTCGTCTCCTAGTGATTCACCCTAAGCCTCCAAGCCAGCTTCACTTGCCATGTTCTTCTCATAGCAGCACTGTGGTCCTGCTTCTATATGAATACTTGGAAGCCAAGAGGCACACAACAAAGCTATCATTCATGCCTTGGGAGAGCAGCTAGTTTAGTGCTGTGGGCTGCACTGGAACATTTATTGTTTCTTGCGGAGGAGTATCAAGGATTCCTGACACATGTTGCCATTTTGGTTGGACTCATCAAAGTTTAATTGGATAATAAAATATTCCTTAATATGACAGAAACATACTGCTTCTCTTGGTCATATTATAAAACCTCAAATAGTGAGACATTCTACCTATGCTCTTTGCGCCCAGTTAGGTATATGTTCAGTAATGATAGGAAAATGGTAATACCCTGGAAGTTGAGTGGTAGACTTGATAAAGGAGATGTACTAACCTTGTAGAGTTTGAGGCTAGCCTCATGCCGGGTGTTGACAGTGTGCATCCTCAGCTTCTCCAGGCTGTTAGTGTAGTAGTCGCAGGCGTTACACTTCAGGTGCACTGGGTTGCCTATGGCCACACATTTCAGACGCCATTCATTGCCTTTGCCCCCTTCTTTGATGTGGGCCACAAGCTGGTACTTTTGCACATGCTTGTCTGTCTTGCAGTGCAGCTGGAAGTTGGCCTTGAGCTGAGTGGTATAGTGGCACAATTTGCACTGGTGAGAGTCGCCCAACACAGCACGCCATTCTTCCTCCGGTAGGCTGCGTTCAGCTCCCATATGCATGCCAAGCACATCCAGGTTGTCAGTGGTGAAGCGGTTGCATACAGCGCACTGAAAGAGCTTGAGGGAGGGGTCGCTGGTTTGTGATAGACTTTCTCCCAGGGTCATCAGTTCTTCGGACACCAACTGCCCACTGCCCAGCCGCACATCCATAGGGATCTCCCCACCTACTAAAATGTGGGGATACACAAAGGAAGACACAAAAAAAAAGAGGAAAAGAGACATTTAGAAATATTCAAAGCTAACACTCTGAACTGGAGTCCAGTTGTAAAGATCACTTTATTTCTCAGTAATTCACTTCAGGACATCATTATTAAATGATTTGAGTTTTTGAGCAAAGTGTTTTGAATTACATCTCAGTGTGGTTTTCCAAAGTTTAACTTTATCTGTGTGAGTCAGTATAGAATCACGTGGAGGATAAACTACACGAGCATTAAATTGTATATGGACCTTGCTTTGAGCTGAGAAAGAACAAAGCCGGGACATTTTCCATGAAGACCTCACACTGCCAGAGAAAGAACATACACATAGCCCTACTTTGGCTATTGGACTTTCATGGCCTTCTGTAAATCAACTCCAGAGGCCATGAGCTCCACAGAAAAAGCAAGTTATTTTATCATTACTGAAGAACTAAGGAGTTCCAAAGCACACATTACTGTAAATCAAATCTGTTGCCACTTTTCACAGAAAAATTGTATTAAAAAAATCCACTTCGCTCCTTGGATTCTTCTGCTTTTTTCACTTCAGATTGCCTCTAAATCAATATGGACACCTAACAGATTAATTCTTCTTGGTACTGAGTCTAAACGATGAGGAGAGGGGGAGGGGGGGGGGGAAACACAGCAAGCACATATCATATGACACAAACCGTAGAACTGATGTCTATACAGTCTGGGTAGGCTGTCTGAAAAATGAATGCAAAAAATATGCGGTAAGAGCAGCCAGAGTTTTTGCCTTGGCTTGCTGATCTTTAACTGCCCAGACTGAGCATACAGGCTTGACCCTGCCCAGCTTTACACTAAATTAATTCCAGCAGCTCCTTTTTATTTATTGCTGCAGTATGCAGCCTGCTCTTGGACTTTTCTCCATTACCTGAGTTTTTATAGCCAGGAGAGGGAGACCTTTGAGAAGCCCTCTGAAATTACTCACAGACCCAGCTCTGCATTCATGGCTTCTAACACTCTCTATCTTACAAACAAACATATCCAATAGCTATATCAGTACCATCTTTTCCTGCACCTTGCATCTCTAATTTCTACCTGGCTCTCATGCAGCATTACTATATTTAGATTCAATGATTTACCCCGTACTTGGCTTATACTCCTCCCTGAACCCTGGTTGATGACCATTCGATGAAGACCCTGGTATGGAGCTTTGTTTTCACATATTTTGTATTTTGAACACAAGTTTTTTCTAAAATATCATATATATGATGGATAATGCTATATGAATCTTAAAAGAAAATCCAAACACATTACCATCTTGCTTATTTACTTTCTCACACTAATGTTTTAAAGTGCATAACTCTGACTTGTCCTTTGTGCTGTTTCACAGTGTATGTGATGTGAGACATTACATTCCAGCAAGAGTAGCTTAAAATCACATCCCCCTCCCTTCTTTTTTACTCTCTTGCCCTCCATCTCATATCTTCCTTTCACTACAGTAGCTGAGTCTTGGGAACGAGGATGAGGGTGAGATCATGTGAGGTTAACATTTGTTATCTATCTTTTCGGCAATACACTCAAAAGTCAAAAATCCACAGTGAGAGCATGAAAAAGAACCTCTTGCTTTAGCTGCCTGGTCTGGGATCTCCTTGTTATGGCAGATTCTCCAAGAGATTTACAAAGCCTTATGTATCATACTGTAGAGTTAACATCAAACTGTTTGTGTATGATGGCTTTATGAGTTCCTTAAAGTGTGACAGAGGATAACACCGCTGTAGTTTATGGGCCCAGACTGTGTCATCATTGCCTCCCTTGTAACATGCTTATTACAACTCACCTCACAGGAAAATGAACCAGATGGCAGAAAAGCTCAAAAGAATGAGTCCCACCAATCAATACGTGTTTGCCTTTGAACTGACGACAGTTGGAGACAAGTTTGTACAAACTTTTGGGTTGTAACTGGCCTGCCAAACGCTCTGCTATGCTTGTGAATTACCCATGCTGAGCCCTCTAACCTCCCTTCTTTGACCAAGATACAATTTATAGCAACAATTACATATTTTGAAAAAATGTAGAACTCCAGTGGTAAAGTTCAGCCGCAGTTACCGAATAATGACATGAAAAAGCTGAGGGTAGCTGCCTGAGATATAGGGCATGGAGAAGAAAAAATAGAATTGCAACACTATAACTCACCTTTTGTGAGCAGGTATCACAAAATTAACTTCACAATTCTTTCAAAATTCCATTTAAACAGTATTACTTTGATGTCTTGTTAAAAACAAAAGTATCTCTTTATTTTATAGATAAATGTACAACAAGTACATTTGTAGATGAAATAATTGACTGGTATTTGGCACTAGAATGTTTAACTATTGATGTAGGATAAAGGCATTGAGCATATAGGCCTACTGTCGTAATGAAAATGATCATGAACACCATCAGTAAGGAAATATGTAGAGGGTCTAGGGTAAGCCCCCAGCTATAAACTTGTCTCAAATGGATTATTTTTCTTTCACCACTCCTACTTTATATTTCAGAGACACTCTGCTTTTAAAATTAGAGAATAATTTTACATTTACTAGGGCAGGTATACCTTAGGCAAGGGCATAAGAAAGAAACAAAAGAGAGGGGCAATATGCAATTTTCCATCTTCCTAATGTTGTATGTTAGCACAATGAAAAGTGATTTAAATACAATTAGTTGTGTTCTCCAAGATTAAGTTAAACTGAAACTAATTTATGCTAAAAGTAATAATTCCTGGGGACTTTGTGGTGACTTTGGTCATTTCTGAGAGCAAGTAAGGCAAAGCGGCACTCACCAAGTGCAGGGGCCAGGGCAGCCATGTTGGGATCAAGGTGAAAGCTCCCCATCAGGAACTGGGCCTCAGCTCCAGCTGGGTCTATCTTGAGGCCTGGTGGAAGGCTCATGTTCTGGGCCAGGTAATATTGGTAGAGCTCAGCTTCAGATGGTGAAGGCATTGCCCCCAAGCCAAGTCGTCCATGCTGCATTTGAGTGACATTCTGCTGGAGTAGCATCATGTTGTGCATGTGCTTCTCGCTGGTCATGTGGATACGCAGGTTCCGTGCCACATTGGTCTCGTAGTCACATACCTCACACCGCCAAGTGGGTTTGCTCTTCGGCTTGGTCGGGGAGGGGGCCCCACACGGTCCAGCCATATGCGTGGAGGACTGTGTTGGATGGTGGTGTGGAGGGTGATGGCTACTGGACTGGGTCACTGAGGGGACTGTAACCACTCCTCCTGGGGTATGTCCAAATACCTGTTCCTGTCCAGTTCCAATGGTGCCTCCATTCGCTAGTGTCTGCATGTTGTTCAGGTGCTTGTCCGACTGCATGTGGATGCTTAGGTTGCCCTTTGTGGTGGTCGAGTAGTTACACACCTAGAAAATATAAGACCATATATATATATATATTTGAACTGCAATAAAGTAAACATATGCTACATTAACCATCGGTTCCCATTTGACATATATTTGAATGGCTCACCAACAAAACAAAAAACTTTAATGGCAACCCATTTCTTACCTCACACCGGAAGGGCTTGTATCCACAGGTATAGCTTTCTCCACGAGCCAGACGAGGGTGGCTCTGACCACTTGTGCAGTACGAACAGGTTCCTCCAGAGTCTGGGTGTTTCTCTTTCATGTGTGCCTCCAATGTCTGCTGGTATTTGTAATGCCAGTTGCATTTCGGACACTTCAGTGTCTTGCATGAGTTGCGTGAATGCATCATGGTCATGTGTCCACCCAAGGAGCGTGAAGAACCCAGAACGGTGTCACATTTAGGGCATTCTACCCCACTGCCACTGCCACCAGGCCCATGGTTCTGGGAACACTCGCCCATCCCTGTTATGTCACAGGAGCCTCCTGGGAAGAGGTGCGCGAGGCCTTGAGATGATGGGTGGAGATGATGATGATGATGGAGCATGTGGTGATGGTGCAGAAGGGCTCCATTTTCTTCCTCTCCCTCTGCTGAGCAATCATTTGGTTCTGGAGCTGTGGCACTATCACGATTGGCACTTTCATCAGCAGCAGCATTGGAGGACAGAGGTGAGGAGGAAGTGCCAGCAGTTTCGTCCTCGTTCCTTCTGACAGCACCTGCCGCCATTGTCATGGGAACAGTGGGTCCCTGACAGTTAAAGCTCAGAGGGAGCTCAGAGGTCCTCCCTCCACCGTCTGCCATTGAACCCTCTTTCCTGACAGAGGAGGAAGTGGAAGCAGGTCCTTTGCTGTTTAGTGTGCAACTGACCGCAGAGGTGCAGGCAGAAGGCTGGAGAGCGCTACTAGGCATTAATAAAGGAGATTTGGAAATGCTTTGGTTTGAGACAGCTTGTTCCCCCGCTTCACCCTTGCCACTGCTACTGTTACCACCACAGGCCACTGCAGTGCTTTCTGCCTCCAACTCATCTTCCTCCTCCCCTAATAACAGTTCTTCTTCTTCCGAGCACCCAATCTGGCTCGATAAGTGTGCCTTGTATTCATTTCCCTTGGTGTCCCCATCCTCTCCCTTGCATGCCAACTCTTTCCCAGCAGGCTCCTCTGTTCTCCCTCCCTGTTTGAGCAGGGCACTGGAGTCTTTGGCAGAGCCTGAGGACGAGGTAAGAGTTGATGCTTTGGGAATGCTCAGCCCTCCAAGAGAGAGGACTGAGCTTAGTGGGTTTTGTTGCTGCTGCTGTTGGTGGTTGAGACCAGAGTCAGAGTCTTTGTTGAGGAGGCTCTCGCTGCCTCTGCTGCTGCATCCAGGCTCCAAATGGACACCACTAAAAGTGCCATAGAAGCTCTGGCCAGAGTTATTGGGGAGCAGGTTAGGTGGCAGAGAAGTGCTCTTTGTTTTTGGTTCCAGGAAACTGATGAGGGGCTCTTTGTCCTTCCCAATGCCCTGGATGATGGCAGATGCTTGCTTGTCCCCTAGCAGCTGCCGTTCGTCCTCACACAGTGTCATGCGGTGATCATGGACGGCATGAGTGGCAAAGGAACGGGCATAGCCAAAGGACAGCTTGCAGAGAAAACACATGAGAATGGGCTTACCCTTGCCATATAGGGCTAGCCCATCAAATTTGGAGAAATCCACGTTGTTGGGAACATCTTTGGATACACAGGACTTCTTGGCAGACCCATCGCTGTTCAGGTAATCCTTGTTGCTTTTGTGCCGCACATCAAAGACACGGTAACTGTGCAGGACAGGGCTGAGGCCTGCCATGGTTGAGGTATTGGGGAAACCTTGGTCTGAATTGCCAAACCACTTCCTGAAGGACGAGGCTATGTGGAACGTGTTGATGATGTGAGGGTAGACCGAGGATGAAGTCCCAGCAGGATCCCCCGGTGTTCCCACACTGGTGAGAGAGTTTGTGGGAAGCAGGCTGCCCATGCCCCCACCACTTTGGATCAACTGACTGATGCTCTCTACGATATAGGCGGAGCCATCTGGCTGGTACACTATCTCACCAGCAAGGTTCTCCACATCACTACTTTCCTCTTCTTCTTCCTCCTCTCCTTCGTCACTCCCACTCTCAGGTGCTCCCTGTTGTCGTGTGGGCTGATGTCGCAAAAGAGTGGGCATGCCCCCTCCCCCAGGAGCCATTGGCACCCCAGGAAAGGGTTGAAGACTTGGGAAACAGCTGTCAATCTCCATTTCATCTAAGTCCTCAGATTCTTCCTCTTCTCCACAGCTTATTCCCTCTTGCTCTTCTTCTTCAAGACCCTCTCTTATGGGATGCAGCTGGCCTGTGGCAGAGCTATCACGGTGGGCCTCGGGTGATGTCTGTTTTGGCTGCTGCTGCTGGGACAGTGGTTCTCTCAGTCCGTCATGAGATGCACTGGAGTTTTTGGGTTGAGAGGGGTACAAAGCAGAGAGGGACAAGGGGTCCAGGGAAGGGGCCTGGTTGGTGCAAGGGACCTGTGAGCTAGAGTGATCGTTCCAGGGCTGTGGTGGTTGCTGCTGCTGGGAGGAGCCGAGCCCATCGTCTGTCCCAGAAACCACAGGAGACTCACAGCTGTCCATGCTGATGCCTACATGAGGCGTTCATCGCATCCAGGCCTGTAGAGACACACAATTGTGAGATAAGGGGTTATTGTTGAAATTGAGATGTTAGATTTAAAAATAGACACAAAAACATAGGCAAAAACAACTCATGGTTGATCATGCTACAACTCATAATCTACAATGCCTTTGCAAACAAAGATGTCTATATTTTCTAAAATATAACTATGCCTATTGAGAAAAGATTGGTTAAAGAAAACATTTAAGATGCTATGAATAGGAACTTTAAAAGAAGAAAATCAAATGTATAGTGCATAGGGTGAGAGACAAAAGTCTGAGATATAATTGGAAAAATGACATCTTGCTCATTACGCTAGATTAGGTACTTAAACACAATACCTGAGACAAGCACTAATAAGCCGCCCATGATTCATCTTCCTGCCATATCAGGAAGGTACCATCTTTTATCTTCACCTTCCAAACAACACCCCTAATCGTATATTCTGCAAATCCTACATCCGTTTTTAATTAACTTGCAGTCAGAAAAAAGGAGAAACAGGCTAACTTAATGGATCAAATAGATTCCCTGTGAGATAATTAGACACTGAGAAGCCACCCATCAGCACATTGTACATTTACATAACTGGAAGAAAAAGGGAAAACTGCATCTACAAAAAGAGATTCTTCACAGTATCACCATTATCACTCCATCTTCAAGTTATGTATATATATAAAGAAGGATATAATACATGTGCACTACTGATATAGATGTGTATGATCTATAACAAGAGCAGTAAAAGTCAGTTTTTCTATGAGCCAAAAATACATAAGCTGGGTTGGGACTTCACAGCAGCTGTGTTTAGATCTTGCATCCAATAACCTCTACGCTCAGCCTGGTTTCAAACACTCCAGCCACCCTTCGCCTCTAAAATAATAAATGGGAGCTGAGCTTACGGGAGCTGGCCATGCCCCGAGCATCTGAGAGGCCCAACACAGGCTGCAATTTAGAGCGCAGAAGAGATAAAATGATAGCGCAAGATACTGCTGAGCTAATAATTTTATTAAAGGGATGCAGCCAACATTGATTAAAGGGGGCAATCGGGCTGAAACCAATAACTCTGGGCTGCCCTTTAACCCAGCAGTACTGAATATTACATGAGCAAAGTTTCCCGGCACCAAGCTCACTGCCATGTCCCGCTTGATTAGCACATTCCCTGCTTGCGTTTGATTTATTTACTTATTTACTTAGTGATGCAAATTTCAGCTGTGATCAGAATGGAGTCTACCCCCACACCCTAACATATTAACCACTGAGAGAGAGGATAGATTGATAATGTCTGTCTGCTGCTTCTTGAATGTCTGATGAAGCTTGTCTCCCACACAACATATAGTACCTGAGAGCTCTGTAGTCTATATGCACTCAAACTACACAAATAATGGACGTCTATTTCAAAGGTTTGCTATTGTCTTTGGACTACCTAATTAACAATAGAAAAAAAACGTATAAAGAAATAATTATTTTAATGATAAAGCAATGCATTTACATCATGACTGCAAAGATGATGTATATGTTATTGTCATAAATACCCGGGGGCAGACATTTCTGTCAGTATGGTCCACCCAATTGTTTTGTTGACACAACACTGAGATGACCCTGATGACCCCTGCCTTGCTTTGCATATAAAATGAAAGATATTAGACTGGCTGGCTTATTAACAAGATTGCTTTATACAGCCAGACATGATTTAGAGATGGCTGTCATATTGAGTGAGGGGATACTAGCGTTACTGGTCTGTATTTATTATCTGCTCCATTAATAAGAGGCAATGTGCTCAACAGCCATTTTACACAAATGGACTGAGGGCAGCGAGAGGAATGCATGAAATAAAGATATGCCACATGTCAAACAGACAGTGATTCTTCAACTAAAAGCCTATGGATATACTGTAAAATGAAATGAAAACAAGAATAAAATATGACATGCCTAAAAAGGACTGCCTCACAGGAAAAATTGCCATGTGTCCTGTCTGAGCATGAAGTGTTTCACACCTTGTTCCTGTAATCTATTCCATCAGCTCCTCCTCCGGATTCCATTGCCTTTCTCAAGCAGGCCTGGGAACACTGTGCAATAAGCACAACTGCTAGTTAAGATTGTTGATTCGCAATGACCTCTAAAGTTCTCAAGTCTTATTTTTTGATTATTTTTTACTTAAGTCTGAGAAAAAAGTCACAGTGTACAGTAGTGAGTGTAGCACCCATCCATTCATATTACTCCTGTAAGATACCTGAAGCAATTAGAAGTAGACAAGACAACACGATGACTCTTGATCAGTGCTGGAGCTTTGAGCCAGCTTGGTGTGTCCACTGCTTACAGAAAACAGGATTGCCCTTTAAAATCAAGATGGTGTAATTCAATAACCTGCAGTGGTTACTGATGAGCAATGGGATTGTCTGGAGTCGGGGAGTCGCAGATGGGCCAACAGATATAACACTGTTTGTCTCTCGGAGGTCTGCCTGGCTCAGTGACACCTGTTTAAAGCAGGAAAAGCTTTAATCTCTGGGAGGCACTAAACAAGTCGGGGAGACAGACAAAGAGACGCGGTCGAAGGAGAGGGGAAGTGGAGGAGGCCAGTGTCTCTGTGTGCTGACAGTGTTAATAACCACAAATCAAAATGATGGAGCAGCCTGCTAAAGGTGACTACTGCAGAGTGGAATTATTTATGGATATGTACTGTGATATGGAGAAAAGTTGTCAAAACTTTGGAATACTGGCACTAATGCTCATTGCGCAAAACAAGTCACCCTGCCATGGCCCATGTGTTGTATCATAATTCTGAATGTGGGCCTACTGGGTTGACAATAGGCAGGCTGTATGCAGCCAAAACAAGCCTTAGCTGACAATAAGAGATAATCAGAGGGAAGAAAAGGCAAAATTCCTGAGCTGATCTGAGGGAGAGCACGCCAATGCACACACACTCTTGCTGCCACCTGCCTTCAAAGGCTTTATGCCAGGGTCCCCCTACTGCTCTCTCTTTCCCTCCCTTCTAACTAAACAATAAAATGTCATATTTCATCTCCTCCCACCCTAACAAAGCATATAAGGTTAAACCTTGTGAAAAGGCCTGAGTCCTAATGAACACAGTCAAAGAGTGGGTCTGGATGTCATTTTGTGGAGATAGAAAATGAGATAAGTTATAAGTTATGGGTCCTTTCATTAGCTGGGATCTACCAGCCAACTGGGGAAGAATTAAAGGCTAAGGAACCATCTGATTATAAGCATGCCTGATCACCTGCCTGGAGGCCTGGCCTTCCCTCCAGGGGACACTACTCTCCAGGGTTTCCTGAGGGAATTATCTCTGACTCAGCCCTAGCTGTGAATACTGCTTAGCTGTGGGTGTGATACAGCGCCGACCCTTACTCGTATTTGAATACACGTCAGGAGTAAGGGAACACCTCTTTAAAATAGAATAACACTGTTTTTTAATCAGCCTAGAGACCCCTAACAATACACCAGATCTGATTTTCAATTGTCCCTCAGTGATGTTGCCTGTCTGTGTCTAGTCTCTGAGCCATCACAGAGCCTGGCCAGCCACCGCAGGGTAAGGGGCGCTTATTGGAAAATCAATGGCGTGAACGCTAAGCAAGTTACAGGAAGATGTGGGAAGGAAGGGTTCTTATTGATAAAGCAGGGGAAGGCCTTTGATGTTGCACTAGGGACATGCTCATTGATGGGAGAACCATTGTAGTCCTCAGGCAGAGTGAGGCCTGGGTTTATCTCCTAGGTTTATTCCAATTAATCACCAATAAATGCATTCATGCATTGCACTTTTAAACATAAGCCCATTTTAATGCCTGACATGGCTTAGTACATTCTGGTTTTAAACTGTGATCTTGCTGTGAGGGAATTTACATCTCTAACATTGCACTGCAAGTGTCTCTTTCCACCTTTTTTACATTACTCTCTATTCAACCTGCTCTAGTCTCTATATACACTAACTGTGGCCTTCAAGCCAAGATCTAACACAATAACCTGAAACTCAGCTAACGAATATGTATGCTATATCTGAAAAAGTGCAACTGTGCTACTAAACTGGCAGCCTGCTGTCGCAAGATAATTGACTGTGCTGAATCAAGATAAATAAATTCCCTTAATGTCATTCAAGCAAATGCTTTTCTTCAAATAATGCACTAGTTCACATTGTCTGAAAGTCAAAAACACATATCATATTTCAGTGCTATCACAAGGTCACATTTTTTATAGTTGAGAGCCAAAAATATTTGTCAACCACAATAAACTATTCTAATTATATTAGGTAGAGTTCTTGTTCTCTTTGTTCCCCAACACTGTAAATCAGACAATTAAGCATGTGCAACATTGTTGTTTATGATGTGCTGTAAATATTCTGTCTGCTATTGTGCTAATGCAGACATAAGGCTGCTCCTGTATTGCTCCAACTGCAGGAGGCAAAAAGTCACCTCAGGTCGATGGCACTCAGCCTGTAAACAGGGCTTCCCGTAAAATCAATGATCTTCAGTAGGAGCTATCAGTCTGTGGAACAGAAATAGCCGTGGCTGTGTTGAGTCTGAGGCGGGGAAGAACGGTACTGTGTGTTTACATGAGTGTGTGTGAGTAGAGGGGGCCGGTCTCTGGCTTGTCTGGGAGTAGTTCTCAGAGATAGCAGAACTGAGGCATGCAGCTTTTGCCATGTTTACAGCCAGCATTAGTTTCTATAGAGACAAGACTGCAACTCTCCAACTGTATTATTTTGGTCTTCTTTGTGTACTTTATGCCCCAAACTAGTGTTAAAAAAAATATACAGCTAAAATAATCCTTACTGATTACAATAGGAGCAACTCAAATAACCAGGAGGCAATGTTCTTAGTTGCACAGCACTCCATTTTACTAACCATTTTGTACTAGTTATACTGGTCAGAAATGGCTAAATTGATGTTGTTGTAAAATCAATTGCCTCCTTTGTTAATAGACTTGAAATAGAACCTTGAAAATGATTTTACCCTTTACGCAACACCATCAAATCTGCTAATCCATTTAATAT